GTGGCGATGCATCTGGTTTTTTTGATGGCGGCGCAGGCCGATTAATAACGGCGGCGTTGGTCTGTCACAATCCAATTAGAATCAGTTAGGGTTCGTGTACAAGAGAAGAATGCGTGTAGATTGGCAACAAAGGGGAAAAGGGAATCCATCTATCTGAGTAAACGCAATGCAAGGTGGCGCCCGTCGAGGGCCGTCGTGGAACGTGTGGAACGCCACTCCCACATCCCCTTAGTCTTCCGAATCTTTCCCGATTTTGTTTGAAAACAGATATAAATGTGGCTGAAAGATGATTTGCAAAAAAAAAAAAAAAATTGTCGTAACGTCGTGTGTCTATACAGGCATTATAGGTCGTAAAAGAAACTGAGGGATGGAGGACAGAATGAGGCAGACAGCCTGTGTGAGCGAGGACACGGTCTTAGAAACTCCCGAGAGAGCTAACAAAGACCATCCTACGCATCGCTGTTCAGGACTGAAGTGCTCTCGTCCCGACCTCTCAGTCTCTGTATCTCCTGTCGTCATAACCGACAGGAGGTGCAGGCAGGCGCCCGGCAGAGTATGGGTTATCGTCGTAGTAAGTTGAGCCGTAATCATACCGCTCTCCTCGCGGAGAGCCAGAATGATTCCAGTCATCAGCCCTACTTCTTCGACCACCAGAGCCGTCGGTGAGCCTCTTCTGGCGCTGAAGTCGCTTTTGATGTCGGATTTCCTTCTCATGTTGGAATTCCTTGCATTCGTGTGTCATCTCTTTGGCTTCCTTGAGCTCAGACCAGGCACCCTTGATACCGAGAGCAGCAATTCCAACAGAGGCGGCGTCTTGCACGAGCGCCTTCGTTTTGAGCTTTTTCGCCTCCTCTGGGCTGAGTCGCCCTTCCTTCACGGCCTTCTGCCTTGAATTGCGTTTCTCCATACTTTGATAGACCCCATGTGCCGCGTGAATGGTGGCAACGGCCGCTAGGCCGGTTGTGATGACTTGCTTACCTCTCATTTTCCTTGCGCGCTTCGCATCATCGTCCGAGTCTCCAAGATCCGACTCGGAGCTGGCGTCCGATTTTCCTCCCCTGCGGCGAGAGCGGTCTCGGCGCCGGCTCGTGTATGACGATCTGTCATCGTCGTATGCGTCACGTCCACCACGTGTAGAACCCCGGTCGTAGCCATCGTCATATTCATCAGAGTATTTTCTAGTGACGCCACCACGTCGCGAGCTGCGGTCGTCGTCGTAGTAATCATCTCGGCCGTACTTCTCTCTTTCCTTTTCTTCCGGGTTGCTGCCAATGCCAATCTTGGCTAGTCTCTTTCGTGCAGAGTCGACAACACTGCGGCTTCTGCTTCGTGCGCGGGGTTTGTCGCGACCATCGCGGCTAGAAGCCCGGCTGTCGTAAGAGTCGGCACTGCGTCCACGGCTTCGGGACCGGACGTTCTCGATTGCCTTCTTTGCGCCAAAGGCACCAAGACCGGCAGTTGCCAGAGCAGCCAAGCCCGGTCCGCCGCCTCCGCCGTCAGAGCGGGCGCGCGACCTTGACCGGCTTCGTCCGGTACGGCGGTCCTCCTCGATGTTGCGCTTAGATCCGTTGATGACTCGGTTACCGACCAGACCACCGATGACAGACTCGGCCAAGCCCAACTTGCTCTGCTTCTCGCCACCTTGTGCGGCATCAATGGTGGCCGCACCGGCAGCGGCAGTAATGATGCGCTTTGTCTTCTCGCCCTTCCAGCCACCAGGTTCTTTGGCAACACGGAAAGCCTCGGTGGCCCCAGCAATCAATGAAGCCATAGCAGCCTTCTGCATCTTGCTAGCGGCTTCATTTCCGGGTCCTCGAGACTTGGACCGAGAGGATCTCGAGTCGGGGCTGCCTCGGCGGCTTCTGGTGTCGCTACGCCGGTCATCCCCACCACTGGCGCCTGTGAGAGCCTTGACTGCAACTCCCAGACCAGAGGCTGCGAGAGCGTTCTCCAAGAAAGACTTGTGGCCCTTCTTCTCCCTGTCTCCCTCCTCGTCGGAGTAGTACTCGGTGACTCGACCGTCACGGCCGCGATGCATGACATAGGTGGACTTGTCCTCCTCCTTTTCCTTGCGCTTGCCGTAGTACTCTGCACCCTGGTACCCAGCGAGGGCTCCGGCTGCTCCCAGCGCCGCAGAAGTCAGGTAGTTTCTTTCGACTTCGCCGCGATGTTCTTTGGCTTCCTTTCTGTCGTAAAGCTCCTTGCCGCCAAATGCCAGAGCCGCACCGGCCACAGCGGCGAGAATCTTCTCTTGTTGGTTGATGACGCGCTTACGGGACCTCTCCTCTTCGGCGTAGACAAGGCTGCCAGCTTTTCTGCTGCGACGATCATATTCGCGATCGTAGTATCGGTCCCGGTCGTCATAGCGTGGGTCATCGTAGTAGCCGGGTTCTGCTGAGCGAGTTCTACGGGAATCTCTGTAACCAGGAGGGGGGAAGTCGCGGCGGACTTCTTCAATAGAGAGTTCGCTGTTCTCTCTGGCCCGAGGAATGATTTCGCGAGTTTGGTGAACCTTGAGGTAACCTTCGTCTGCATAACGGGGATCGATTCTCTCCTCACGACGCTCCTCGCGCACGTAGCGACGAGTGCGCTGAGGCTCTTCGTAGTAACTCATGTCGGCTGACGAGAGTGGGCGTAAGAGCCAAGCAGGCTCGGTGGGTATTTTCGATTTGAAGCGGGGATGATGTAAGTCGTATGAGTGAAGTGACACAGTGCCAGGGTTTTGGCTCGAGTGTGCCGCCAGAGATGATAGTTCAACTGGCGAGACTACAATGTGATTGAAATCTTTCGATGAAGACGCTGAAATGTTTATGAGTTGTTGAAGGTAAAAAGACGAAGGACAGCAAGCCCCGGGAAGAAATGAAGGAGGGGAAGAGATGATGAGCGATGACAGGGGGGGCCAGGGCTAGCTAGAAGAAAGTGGATGGGCAAGGGTCCAGAAGACGGGAGGGCAAAGGCAATCAGGCATGGGAAGGAAAGAGACGGCAGGGACGGGGAGGTCACTTCAGGCAGAGAAGCCAGCCAGATACAGCCTGCACAGGCCTGGACTGGGCAGGGCAGAACAGGGTTGGGCTGTCCGAAGACATGGATGCGACATGTCGACGACTCAGCGTTGCTTCCAAAGATGCAGCAATAGAGCGGCAGCGGCAGCAGAAACGGAGGGTGCGGGAACCAGGGAAGGGAATGCTAAGGTAAGGTATGTTCGTGACGGACATACGAAAGTACCTTGCCTGCAGAATCACCGTGAACAAGTACTTTTGAAACCTGCTCTTGAACATAATGGGACCCTGTTTTTTTTTTCTCATCCGAAAGATGGCCCATTTACACAACACAAGCCGCTGGCAAAAAGAGTCAGTCATTTGGACATACCGTAAAGCCCCCCTCCCTCTCAACGTCTGACCGAAAATAGTGTGCCCTTATTTGGGTCGTCCAATTTTCCATTTGCTCATTCTCACATTGGCTGGGCAGCGAGAAAAAGTAAGACGAGTGGCCAGGCTGTCTATCTAGTGCGCCTAGAGACTTGTGCTAGCGCTGTCGTAAGTGGCATCAGAGGACGGGTGCTCCCTGCGACAAACCCGATGCCGCTGCGCACCAAGGACCAAAGGCCAAGGCAAGTGACGGATGTGTGTGGTGGTGGCTTTGGGGTACTTTGGGAGTCCTTTCTGAAGATGTTGCACTTGCAGCGGATGTTCGGGTTTCAAGCAGTGCAGTTTCTTACTCCGAGAGATGGCAAAGACGGTGTTCGCGAGAAGAACGAGCATGGCAGGCATGTGCGCGGCCTCCGATGCAGTTGGCATGCTTGCTTGCATGCAACGCCTGCAATCTGTGCCTGTGACCTTGGGCCCGGGGGAGTTGTACCGGTTCAATGAAGGCTTTTAGTTGGAAGGCGGAGAGAGACGGAGGGACGAGTTGACAACGAAGCAGTGGGAGGGAGTATGACCTCATACCGACAGGCATTTTGACCAATGAGACATCAGGAATCGCTCGTGCCTTACCTCCCATAGTGTGCCCTCCACTTGGCCGAGCGCCGATATGAGGGGGCCCAGGACCTGGTAATGGAATGGTATGAGGGGGGGCTCTGCCACCGAGTGCTCGGTCAGTCCGCAAAAACACCCATTTCTGATTTCCCACTGAGCCAGGTGATGCCCAACTATTCGTATGTCTGTCACAACTAAAATCGAGGATCCTTGTATATTTGTTTCTTTTTTCCTTTCTCTTAATGCCTCGAGGTCCACGATGTTTGTTCTTCTCGGTAACAGGTTGATCACATCGAAGCTAGGTTGCAAGTATTTTGGGAGTTCGCCGTAATTGCGGCATGATATCATTTGTTTCGAAACAGCAAGTGGTTACCGAAAATGCAATAAACCCCATTCGGTATCTGTAAGCACCTTACTGGTCACATTCAGATAGGAGTGATGGAAACATAGGTACACTAAGGTGGTCGCGGATGACAAGCAGATGGAAGTGAAGTGATCGAGTATCCGTAGGTAGAACATTCGGAGTGGGTGAGGTGATTGGGCTGAGAATCTTAGGTGGACTGTGGAGCGAATGGAATGCCCCGCGGTGACAAACTCTCGAAGAGGGGAACCTGGAAACCTGCACCGAAGGGCAAGGGTGGTCTTCGAGCCCGTGACGTAGGTAGTGTTGCACTCTTCCTGCTTCTTTACGGAGTACTGAGGCTGGTTACGTGGCGCAGCCACACGCTGCATCGAAAAGTGCCACACGTGAACAGTGGATACGTGGCGGTGGTGGCCCGGCCCTGGAGTCTGGACTCTGATTCCCGTCACGTGCTTCGTCTGGTCCGAAAATTACCTCATCCTCGATCAACGGCGGAAAACGGGAGTACCGGCCGTGAGTGGGGATTCCTTGTTCCTGCCTCCCGTCCCCATCTCAACAAATTGCATTGTGTGATTCGTCCAGAGAAAACGGTGTCGACCAATGATGCTGCCCAGTACAAGACGGTGGGGCCACGGCTGCTACCCGCCAACCACATCCCTCCACCTCCACTACCTCGCTTTGCATCTCTTCACCGTAACCTGATTCTTGAGAATCGCATCCTCATCACCAGAGTTCGCACAAATGCCAGTCTACCCAAACTGCAGAGTCATCCGAAGGTCTTCGTACCTATACCTTCAATTACCAAGGTGGTGAGATGACTCCGAAGAGATCAACGAGTCGAGCATAGCAAACGCGAATGTCGCACGGATTCGGCCAAGATAATGAACAGGATACTTACCCGGCTCAGCCTCGTAATTCTATCCTCAGGTTGCTCGACTTTTCCCCAGCCTCCCAAGTTCTCAACAACCCCATTCCACGATCAAGGCCGGCAAACACGCAACCTGGTGCCAATCAGATCCTCTGCTTGCTCGAGTGAGCCAACACCGCTATGCCATCACCCGTGTACGAAGTACGGAGTATCCGTACCCATTTCGATGCAATCATTCACGTCGTGCAAGGCAAATCCTCCGCGACCTGATTCGACCGCACAATGACACACGCAAGCAACCGGGTCAACCGTCAACGTCACGCCAGCTCAATCCCGCCCGGGGCCTCGCCTTCACTTCAGCCTGTCACGCCTGAATGGCTCTCTGTCCTGACTCCTGCCCTGCTTTTCCTGCTTGTTCGTCAGATCTTCCTCCGTTGACAGCTTTCGTCTGTTTGTTCCCTGTTCGCGCCTTGCCCGCTTTGCCGGTTGCCCAGCTTCAGAGCTGCTTCTGGCCTGCTACTACTGCGGCTGCAAGGGCCTCGAAGCATCGAGCATCTCTACCCAACCTCCGCTTTCCAAGGAATACAGACCAGGGTCTGTGAAAAAAAAACAAAAAACAAAAAAAAAAAAGACCAACACCAAGATTTCTGGCCCGCCTGTTCCTCGCCCCTCACAATGGGCAACAAACGCGCAATTCCTAGCTTTCGCTTCCACCATCGCTGTCGCCATGGGTTCCCAATTCGTTCTGGCCTGGTTCCGTTGTCGTACCCGGGCCAGCTTCACCGCGTACGGCGTCATTTGTCTCTTGACTGCATCACAGCGGCTTTTTGTTCTTGTTATTTAAGTGATTCCTCCACCCTCCGAAGCTGTGTCCCGTAGTTCACTCTCTTTCCCTTCCATCCGCCTTTGTTTGCTTCAGCCAGACCAGTGATACCCTCCCCCTCGCAAGACCTTCTGCCGCCTCGTCCTCAACAGACCTGTGATACCCAACCCCCTCAGACTTGAGCAAAGATACCCCCTCAACAAGCCATCAAGATGAAGTCTGCCATCATTCCTCTGGCCATTGCCGCCAAGTTCGCCTTTGCCAACCCCATCGACGCGCGCCAAGTGTAAGACACACAGCCCCTCCCGCTCGGGATCTAAGAGATAGTCCAAGGGGGAGCCTCAGAGCTAGCCAAACACATACTAACACTGCCCTCATAGCTCCGACGCCCCGGCCTTCACCGCCGCCGCCGATGCTCTCATCTCGGCCTACATTCCCACCGACCAGTGGGACTCCCTGACCTCGGCCTTCGGCTCCGCCGCCAGCGCCGCCAGCGTCACCGGCGACCTCAAGTCTTACATCTACTCCGTCCTCAAGGCCACCAGCACCCCGGACTGGTTCGCCGCGGCTATCCCGACTCAGTACACCAGCCAGTACGGCGCCCTCGAGTCCGCCATTGAGAGCCTTCGCCCCACTGCCGCTCCGGCCGGCACCCCCGTGCCCACCGTCATCGCCGTGACCACCACCAACTCGGACGGCAGCACCATCACCACCGAGATCTCCGCCACTGTCACCCCCATCCCGACCACAATCACCACCGACGTCGTGCCCACGCTCTCCGCCAGCGTCGTCACCGGAACCGACTCCGCCGGTAGTGCCTTCACCTCCACTGTCGTGAACACCGCGTCCGAGTCCGCTACTGGAACTGCTGTGTAAGTTGCCACCCCCTACCCACCTTCACACTTCATCGGGAGTATATGTATACTGACACTCTTCCCCAGTACCACCGGTGCCTCCGAGTCCGCCTCCGAGTCCAGCGGCGCTTCCGCCACTGACGCCTCCGGCTCTGCTACCGGTTCTGCCGCACCCTCCTCCACTGAGGCCCCCAACGCTGCCCCGACCGCCATGGTTCACGGCCTCGCCGCTGTTGCCGCTGGTGTTGTCGGTCTCATCATGGCCTTCTAAGTGGGATGAGATGATGAGTGAACGCATGTTGAGTGAAACGCAATAAACGGTCGAAATAATGAGGCAAACGGCATGAAGACTTGTAGATAATGACTTTTTCGGTCTAATCGCATTCTCATCTTGGTCCCTAATTCTACTATAACAGCAGATAGTGGGACATAGATGAGGATGGTTATGTAATAATGAGTAATATGGCATGACTTTCCCAACGTATCTTACATGGCTGTTGTTGAAAATGCTGCTTTCTGAGTATGGTCGAGCAAGATGAGACAAGCGCAAGCCCGGTGGCTCATGGATAACGTTACCCAAGGTATGACTCCGTACATGTATTGATATTGAGCTCCTGGTTGTCTCACGGCCGGTTGTCGGATCTCTTCCGGCCCTGTTATTTCTTTGCGGCTGAGTACTTTTGCCGGCTCCCACGGCTTCAAAATTTGTATGAGCGAGGAAATGGGTCTAGAGTGAACGGCGAGATGCCTCAGAGGACAAGTCAGCGCTGGGCCCGGCGGAGATCACAGAGACTACAGTCCGCCTTCTTCTCTTTGTCTTCTCCCTAGCTGAGTGAAGCTTCTGACTCTAAGAGACTTCCCGTCAGATGTGTCTCCACCACCTTGCTTTCGAAAGCGTATCTTGTCCACTTCTGTGGGACTGTGGATACCTGAGGCAGTGGCTGGTGCCCCAGGCACCAGCTGCCTGATCCACCTCCTGGTTGATCCAGCCCACCGCAGCCACCTTCACCACAACATCACCAACCAACCGTCAATACCAGTCGTATTGCCTCATTGCTTGCCTCGTTGGTCCAGATGAGCAGTGTGTACTGCCCACAACTTCACCGTGGATTACCACAATACCTTCTAGTTCCATTCAGCTTCGCCGTCTTTTTTCTGCTTCTGCGGACAGGGCGAAAAAGTCGAGGACAAAGCCGGGCGAAAATCCACTCCACTTCATGGTCTCTTGAGAATGTCTACCTGTGGATATGTTTGTGATACCGATGCTGTCTTGATAGAGCTTCGTTCGCTGCCTCCCTGCCCGTGCAAAGTAAGGTATAGAGCCCGGCGCGTGACTACATGACTGGGCACCCATCGCAGCAGCAGTGGCGCATAACGAGGGTTATGTTCCCGGTACCCAACTCATCGTAGACTTCTCAGACACACAACACAGCTCGTGGCTGATGAACAGTAAAGCTCTTGTTTTCACTATGAAAGGTGGCCATTGAGGTTTTCATCGGCTATCTCGAGTATACCGAGTCATTGAGCATTCTTCCCAAGGTCTCTCAAGGAGGAGATTGTCATCTTCAACATGGACGAATACCGCGCCTTTCATGTTGGGAGACTTTCGTTACTTGTGTTTACCAAAAGAAAATCGACAATGGCCATTTCATGACGAGAATTTGAAGCACTTATTTTAGGAACACCGAAGTCTATGGTATGTTCGCTCAGGGAGGGAACTCCGGGATGATCGTATTTTGTCTTCCCCATGAAAGTTTTCTCTCACTAAGAGCCTAACTAACAACCAAGACCGAGGACTGATAAACTCGCGCGACTATAATCACTCTTATTGGAATCTAAACTTTAGCATACGAGTATAAATTACCGGTCGATCGATGGGTAGAGATACGTTGCCATCGATAGCTGACTTTCACTGCGCAAGTCCCGTAAAAAGGATCACGCACCAGTAACTTCGAACCCTTGAAGAAGCCGCCGCAGTAAAGTAAACAGCAATGTCCATGGGAGCAAAACAATTTTTGTGTCTCGGGAATTCGGAAGCAGCCAGCTATCTACCCCGCTCCACGTTTTACGGCGCGATTGGAACTTGCGACACCCCGACAAGACGCCACTGTCCCCAAGCACATCTGCAACATCGTGATATCCGCCTCCTTCTTACCACCACCACCACAACAACAAAGATCGCAAAAAAACATACAACACCAGGTATTCGCTGGTCGTCACCGACCCAACTACTAATCCGGCCCTCATTGGCTTATCTATGGGAGAGCGGACGGGATCCCGAGTTTTCCAATGGGTATGGTCGTATGTGGTTGTTCAAGAAGCTGAAGCTGGACATATCCTCCAGGTGGCCTGGGGCGAGGAGCAACATGATGCCCCTTCACCCACCCACCCCATTCAGTCGAACATCTCGAGAGTTAACTCGCGATTCCTAGTCAATGTCTGTGATTACAGCTCTGATTCCAGGCTAGCTTCAGAACGGTATTCCATAGTCCCAAGAGAGAAAGACTGCGTCTCTCCCACGATGATGACTTCACTGGCAACAATGCGACTTGGATGTAACCCAGCATGAACGCCAAATACTCCGTATTTATTCATTTTTAAAGAGGTCCTATTCATACAATACAGCACCAGCTCGACTGATTTGCCTGATGATGCCGTCTCTTTCTTTTCCCCCAATCCCCGTGTCGGTGTGCGCTGATGAGAGCGAAGAAGGAAGGTTAAGAAAGAAAGAGAAAGTCTAGTAGAACCCATGAACCATTGCCTCCAATTTCTTGTGACCGCTCGAATGCATTTCATGCCCATAACCCTCCCCACCTCATTTCCCTGTTGTGTGTTTTTCCCCCAAATAAAGCATGCAGGAACTATGTGCAGTAATAAAAAAAATAAAAAAAGGAAAAAGGGAAGAAAACTTTTTTCTTCGTCTAGCAATGAGGCGAGGGGAGAGAGAAGTAGGAAGGAAGCTCAAGATCCATCCATAATGAGGAGAATACCGCCAAATGAAAGTAGAAACCAATGACTAGTCATTCTCGGACCTTGTATGCCGAGTTACGCCGGAGAAGAGACTTTCATCAACCCATGTCCGAAGCTGCTTCAAGACGAAGCCTTCCACATTCAAACGCAAGAGGGGCGAAGCTTTCCTCTGTGCCTCATTCTTTTTGCCTCTGATTATTCCCCCCGTCCCAATTAATTCCGAATCAAACCTCCCATGGGTATGTCGCTAGCCACCTGGTAGCATGTCTCTCTCTGCGGTCCATCCCCTTTTGCGAGAAAGAAGCAGATAACTTTTCCAACCTTTCGAATACGACAATAGCTGCGGTCTCGTTCCGACTGACCCCAAGGAAACGTTGCAGATTCAACGATACTCGGAAAATGCGCTCAGTGACATTGCCCAAGATGGAGAATCGAGCGACCGCAACCTAGGTAGGTCCATCACAGCTTGTTTGTCGAAGTAATTCCAACAAGAGTTTCCCAATTCGTAAAACATCCTCGTCATTGTAACCGACCTAGATGCTACCTCTCAAGGGATCTCGGCTGTCGCGGCTAGCCTTTTCGCTTCTTCATAGAGAGACTCCAGGTTGTCCAGAGGATGTTCGTTGTCCTCTTGTAAGACCGCTTCATAGTATGCAATCAAGTTTTTGAGGCCAGTTGTATTGATGGTCTCCCCCGTGGCGTCCGCCACTGCATATGCCCGAAACTCCTCAAACATCTCCAAATCAAAATGCCGGGCCAAGAAATGAGACCAGAACCGATAAAGGGATATCATGTCGCCGGGGATGTCCCCGGCCAAAGTGTCTTGCCGTTGGGAGAGCGCGCACAGACGAAATTCAGGGTACGGGACGTCGTCGATGTACGACTCGGCAACCGACTTCTCGCCTCGGACACGCATCAGCAGGTGCGCGCGTTGAGAAGGACTCGACACGTTGCTGCTGTCGTCACCGCATCCTGATGCTGCCGCCTCGCTGCCACAGCCCACGACAATGCCTTCGTCCAACTAGGACTGGAGGGCTTCAGCAGGCTGGGCGTGATTTCCGTTTGTCAAGGGAGCGCTCTCTGTGTGGGCAGAGCCATTGACGAGGGGTTGAGCCTTCTCGGTCTCTGACGAGGCCTCAGCCGTTTGCTCGGATGCAGGGCCGGGCTGGAACTCGGGGACTTGAGCAGAAAGCTGTGTCTCGGCAGCGTTGCCGTTCACAGTGCCGTTCGGCTGTCCATTCTGAGCCTCGGTAGGGTAGGGGACGTAGCTGTTTTCGGCACCGTTGGGGTAGGCAGCGGTCGGCGAGATGACAGGGTAGTCGCCGAGCATGCCGTGGTCGTAATGAGCGACGGCGTGGAGGGAACGGGGGTAAAAGTACTGGGGTCCCTCGTTGCGAGCAGCGTCGAAGCGCAGCTCCATGTTAGGGTAGACGAACTTCTGCCAGTGGGTACGAGATCTCAATCTCTCAATGCCATCGTCGCCAACAACGTAATCCAGCTGGGGGCACTCGGCAATGATTGCGCGCAGGGTCTGGGCATCAGCCACCGAACGAACCCTTTGGAAACCGAGAACAAGCTCCAAAGGCACGAAACCCTGGCTGTCCATGTTCTTGCGCAAGTAGGTATCCTTCAGGAGGTTCTCGACGGAGAAGTAGTACTCCATCTGAGGGATCATGATGTGTCTAGTTTGCTCGTAGAAAGCGGCGTACGAACCCGGGGTCATGGGGACTCCGTAATCCCAGGTAACCTGGTTCATGTTGGTCTGAACTTGACGCATACGGCCAGAGTTGGAAGGGCCACCAGCACCGCGGAACGCTCCGGAACCATTCGGCTGGCCGCGACCGCCGCGACCACCGCGGGACTGCGAGCCGCCGTAAGAGGGCTGGAAGCTGCCACCCTGGTGGAGGGGAGGGCTGGCGTATTGTCTGGGACCTTGGGAGCCGAAGGAGTTGCCGTTAGACATGTAGGAAGACTGCTGAGCGTGCATGGGCACGTTTCCAGGGTGGCCTCCGCGGCCTCTGTATCCGCCCCGGCCCCTATCACCGCGGCCTTCTCCTCTCTCTCTAACAGGACCGGCCTGCTCCTGCTTTATGGGTCAGTATATATGTTGGAGACGATATCGCACGACAACCGAGGCAGGAAGAAACTTACATGGGTGGCATTTGACTGCGACTCCTTGTTGCGCTCGCCAGAGTTGGGCGCCGTGGGCTTGCGCTCCTTGCCGTTCGAGACTTCCATTGAGGCCCGCTTGTTTGCAACGGGGGGTTGAGAGTTGGCTCTGGCCGGAGCGTTACCGTCGCGAGTACGGTCACGGGCTTCGTTTCCTGCCTTGGTAGGGGCAGCAGTGCCGGCCGGCTTGTCAGCAGAGGCAGCAGCAGCAGCAGCACCGTGACCGCCACGAGAAGTAACGTCGCGTCCACCACGAGCAGCACCTCGTCCTCCTCGAGAGCCTCTGACTGAGGGCATGGGGGTGGAGAACTGGACAGTAGGGACAAAGTCCATACGCTCCCACTTGTCCTTTGAACGTCCCTTGGCCCCAGCATCGTCCTGGACCTCGGCCTCTACCCGTTCAACCTTCTCGGAAGGCTTGCGCTTCTCCTCCTTGACAATCTCCTTGACCGCCGTCTCAGGCGTAGGCCATGAGTGGACATCGCCAACAGGGGGAGGGACCTCGGTAAGACGGCTATCTCTCTCGATAACCCTTGAGCCGCGAGCACCGTTTCTTCTGGCGGCGGCATCACCATCGCCGGCCTTGCGCTGAGACTTGCTGGCAGCAGGAGCGCCGTTGGTGGCTTCAGCACCCTCAACGGCCTTCTTGTTCTTCTTGGACTCCTGGCTGTTGGGCCAGGTGTCAACTGGGGCGGACGCACTGGCAGCACCATTTGCGGTGGGCAAGGTGACAGAGGTCTTGTGAGCCTGTGTCTCCTTGCGCTGGGTCCAGATGTTGACCGAAGGGAGCGGCGCCTCGACGAGCTCGATCTTGGGCTCCTCCTTCTCCTGCTCTGCTGCCTTCTCCTTCTTGGCATCGTCGCTTGATTCCTTCCCGGCCTTGCCTTTTCTCGGCTTCCTAGAGCCCTTCTTCGGCTCGGCCTCGTCGGTCACGCGAGTGGATGCGCTTGCCGACCTCACGCTCTTCTCACTTCGGCGGGCAGAGGCTTCGGTAACGGCCTCCTCGTCATCGCGTCGAGAGTCGGTGACGGAAGCGGCGGCAGATGGTGTGTTCGTACTGTTGGCTTCTGCTTGGGCAGAGGAAACGTCCTGCTTGGCAGCCAGTTGAGCCTTGAGAGGGGTATTTCTCGAGGACTCGTCGTCAGCGGGGTCGGTGCTCTTGACAGTGTTGGGCTCGGCACCCGGTTGTTCACCGTTTACTGAGCTCGCGGAGTCCTTGCCGTTCTCGGTGGTCTGGGCCGCGGGTGTTGTGGCCGCCTGACCCTTGGCGGCTTGAGCGTAAGAAAATGCAGTAGCCATCGTGTCTGATGCTAGGTCTGATGCAGAAATAGGCATGCCTCGAAAGACTATTGGGGTATAAAGGGACCAGGGAAGATGATCAACAGATCTAATCCTGCCAGGCCCTGAGGTAGTAGCCGCGAACGGGCTGTTGTGTATCCTGCTGTTGGGTAAACCGAGGTTTACCAGCAACTCCTGAGTCGGAGACAGACCGGAGAGGGCGAACCAAACCTCTCCGCGTGGTCCGGAAGAATGAGTCGGTCGGCGGCCTGAGGTGCCGTAGAAGGGATCAGGTGCCGGTTGACGTCGTCAGAAGTCGTAAAAGATTGAGGCAAACGCAAGGATGTCGGGACGAGCAGGTGCTGCTGGTCCAGTGAAGCCGGAAGGTGGCTAGAAATTTCGGGCGAGTGCGGGAACGAGCTTAGGACGAAGGCACGCGAGGACTGACGAATCAGTAGAATCGGGTGCGCGAGCGAGATGATCTGAGGTGCGGTGGAAGCTGTGTTCCTCGTAACCGAAGAGGGGAAGGTGGGTTGAGGGCACGTCAACGAAGTGTTTTTTTTTTTTTTTTGGGTTGCGAAGGGACAAGCGAGGCGAGACGCTCCGGAGATGCTCGGGCTGCGGCGATCCAAAGAAAACGTGGAGGACGGTAACGCAAGGCTTCGATTGGAGGAGGGCTTGATTGTTGGCCTGAAGGGTCTCGCCGGTCGTGTACGAAATGTCCGCTATTGAAAAATTGGCGAACAGAAAGGTGTCGGCCGAACAGGACGAGTGAACAGAGGAAGAATGACCACAAGGATACCGGTAGGGCAAGGTTTGTGGAGGAGAGGGATAGAGAGAGGAAGAGAGGATATGTGTGGTTGTGGGAGGGGAGGAGAAAAAGGACCCAGGAATAAAATCTGAGGCCCGAGTTTTTTTTTTGTGAATGAATTTTTTTCTTTCTCGGGAAAGCCACTACCAGGTTGGCACTTGAGGTAAAAGGTGGAGGCAGCTTGTTCACCAGACTTTTTAGCGGGGAGGGGGGGGGGAAAGGGACGCCGGGACGGAGTACAGTGGGTGATTGGAATTCTTTGGTGATTGACTGGGAGGAGGTTTGGGGTTCATGGTTGAGGTAAGGGACCCCCAAGGCACTGACAATTCACTGAGATGCGGGAGGTGCTTCATCCGCGGGCTTCCATGTACCTTGGTGATTCATCTCAGGGCATTTACCTTACAGGCTTACACACTGATGTCAGGCAGGGCAGAGATGCAGGACATTGTCGGTGAAGCATGCACCACCTCATCTAATAGAAGAGACACACCCCAATCATTCATCAGGCTTTATAAGACACCTAGCGTACCTTGAGGTAATGTGTGGTGAATAGGTAGGTGGTAAGGTAGGTAATTGAAAGTCTCATTCATCCAGGGCATCCAATAGGTCCATGTCTCAGGCGATGTGCTGTGAGCGAGTGAAAGGACGGGACGGGAGCAAGCCGACCTGGAAGTGGGAGAGCGCGCAGGAGGCCGAGGATGGAGGGGTCACCACCGACTGACGTGGGATGGGCGCCCAGTGACTCCAGTTCTTGTCTTTGACGGGGCGGGCGGTGGCCGAAATATTTCCTACCTGAGGCCATGAGGCAGGCCGCTGGAGGGGGTATCCAACACACCTGGGCCCGGTGGTACCTCATGAGGCCTGGACCAGTTAGGAAACACGGATACTGAAGGCTTCCGACGACATGGGTAGGCTTAAAGTGGCCGGCAACGGCAGAAATTGCCCATCGCTCCGACCCGGCAGGGCAGGGTAGACAAGCAAGGCACTTGCCACTAAAAAGGTACCTTACCCTAGCTAGGTAGGCGCAAGTATTACCAGCAGCAGGGCACAAGCGTGACAAGCAGGAAGCAGGACCTGACCGACATGACACAAAGTATTGGTGGTGAAGGCAGCCCTTCATTGGATCATCACCTCGGTGTAAGTCAGAAAAGGTTGAATTGTGTAAGGAAAACACAAGTCAGGGAAACAGTGCTTACTCAAACGAAAGAAAGAAAAACCTATACCGATTACCCCTCTCTCCTTCTCCTCTTCTGGTCACTGGCCTCCACTATGGTAGCACGGGTAGCCTGTAGGTAATTATTAGTCTTTGCATAGTCACCACCTCGCTTTGCATCAAACCGAATCCTGGGATCTCTCTGCCTTTTTTTTTTCCCCTTTATTGCCTACCATCTCCTCTATCCGTATCTAACCCCGGAATGGTCTGCCCGCTGCTTCTTCTTCCTGCTGGCGGCTGCGACCTTCTGCATGCGTGCCCATCCCATCCATCCCCCTCCGGTTCCTTGTCGGCTTTGGTGGGGTTGCGCGAATATAAGTCGGTTGTTTACCAGGCCAAGGCAATTTCTCTCATTTTTATCATGTGCCTTTTTGTGTGATGACCCTTCAGCTAAAGCCTTATTCGCCCGTGTTGACTGTGGTGTCGTATGTCCCAAGTGCTGTTGCCCATGTACAGACGCACCGCCCTGCGCCGAAATGCACCGCACCATCCGCTCGAGCGGGCAGATGGATGGTTTCGATTCTGCTTGCTGCAAGTCAGACCTAGGTAAGTATCTGGGCTCTCTGAGAGGGGCGATTTCTCGTTTCGCGTTATACATCGACAACCTCGTAGAAGTTGCAACTTACCCAAAAGCGACTCTTTGCGAATTCCAGTTAGAGTGTTCAAAGTAAGGCAGGTGCGTCGAGGCAGTCATGCAGTACCATGCACTCTCCAGCTCCCTTCTGAATGACAGGCGCCATTGGCTACTTTGGTACGTACCTTGACGCGGAGAAAATGAAGACTGAGAAGCCCGCTGGATTGCTGGATTCCTTTCTCCATTTGCATATCCACGGCCCACGCACAATTCTCCTCTCTTTTGCAATGAGTGCCGGTTGGACCGCCTTTCCTCTGCAGTCTGCGTTGCATCCAATCCTCTGAATACCCATGGCACAGAACTGAAGAGGATAACGGTAAGCGCGGCTACGTTTCTTCTTGTCCGAACTTCCAGGACCTGTATTACATAATCACGGATACACGCCCTCTGTCTGACGTTATACCTAGTTTGAAGCCCTCGTCCCACGAGCGTCTACTGCAGCCTACAAGTACGAATACGTCGCATCACTGCGCCACACACACACCGCCACAGGGCGTCTCCTTGATCATCAACCTTTGGCCGTCCTTCTTCGAAAGCTTTGTTTTCGGAACGACTTCCGGGCCGTTTGGTGCACTCAAAGAGTGCGCAAGGCATATGCCACGGTGTACACTATCGAACCCCTCAGCCAGTTCAGTCTCAATGACTGCCTCTCTCACATTTGTTGCCTTAGCTGCCTTAGTCATCCTCGACACCCTGAGGACGACATGGGCAATATCAAAGACAACGATTTCCCATGTCCGGTTCGCCTACGCGGTGGGCAATTCCCGACCCTGGTCCCAATTCTTTTCTATGTCTTCTTCCTCATGGTATCTGGTGGTTTTTTTGTTTTTTTTTACGAACAATAACCCGGCCGGCCATCCCACTCCTTTGATACAAAGATGCGCGTTCGTGGTTCACCTCGATACAACACAACTTTGTAATCCAATGCATCATGTCTTCGCCTGCCCAGAGCCGAAAAGGCTTAGCAAGCCCTGCGCAGACAGTCAAAAAACGATACGGGGGCCAGCCACACTTGCCAGACCCCTTTGAAGTTTGCTCACACTGTCTCGACCTTCACCCACCGCTCCCATGGCGTAAAAGGCTCATTTCAATGCAGAAACCCGGATGATTTTACCCGGCGTCTTGCCGAAGGAGCCCGTTCGTAAGAACTTTTCTACAGGGAATCCCGAGGGGGTCTCGCGTTAATGAAGGTATGTCTCTTTTTTTATTCGAGGATGATAGAGACAGGGGCTGGGAACCATCGTAACCAAATAACATCGAAAAAGCTCATCTAAGAGGGTTTGCGCGCACACGCCTGAACACGGAAATTTCGGTCAACAACCTGTTATCCCCCCTTCCCTCTTTGGCGAAGCTTCCCAGGATCCCATCTCACAATCAGTGCTTCTCCACCGGTGCACTTGGGGCATTTATCGTTTTCTCTCGAATGAAGTGGACTGACTCGTCTTCCGAGCCTTCCTGGCCGTGCCGGGATCCACCATCCGAAGTGGGCACTTCTTCGGCAACTTTTCCATCCCCCGTGAGGTTTCTCCCTTTCGGCCCCTGATTACCCTTTCTCTCAGCCTTGCAATGAAACCGAATGCGGAATTTGGGGGGTTCTAAGGCGGGTTACCCCACAACCCCGAGAGTGTCACTCGAGAGGTGAAAGGAATACCAAAGAGAGAGAGAGAAAAAAAAAAATTGACATTTCCTCTTTTGAGGGTTCTCGGCAGAGGCTAAACCGTCGATCATTGTGGGACCTGGCTGTCTAGAGACCCTTGTTGAAGAAGCAAAACCAAATGAAAATCCTGAGAAAAGAAAGCCGGCATCCAAGCACACGACGCCTGAACTTCTGAAGACATTGACCAGTAGTATGGGATACATTCAACGAAAAGTCTATGCTGTGTCTTGTAGCGTTTCGACATTTTTGCGAGGTTTCTTCCCACTACCTGGGGGCAGTTCCTGGCCTTTCCAGTATACGCGTGAAGTACACTCCTAAACCCCAGGACTTTCCAACACAGCTACCTTGCTAGGTGAGTATACATAGCTAGCAAATGAGCTCCTTCATTTGGAGATCTCCATGTAGAGATGAGATGCTCTACTTGAGCCAGAATAAAATATAGACCTTCCTATGCATGGGGGAGTAGTCACTCGATGGCCTTCGTTCATGGTAGCTCCCGGCAGAAAAAGCAATAGCAAAGTTTAAGAGCTGTTGAAGCCAGGAGAAGAAACCGTGCTACTTTTTGACGGCGACTGATCGAGAGGATTTCACAACTTGGAATACCTGGTAGAAAAGAAGACCTTTGGGTGAAAGACAAAAGGGACATGTCGAAGAGGAAACCTGATCCGTGAACTAACAGCTTGCCGAGAGTTGAACCATACCCGTGAGAAACGATGCCTGGATTTTCTTTATGAGTGTTTTCAAACTTGGTCCTGGATCGGTTGGTTCGTTGTTGATACAGCGGGATGGCCAGGCAAGCAGAGGCAAGGCTGCAAACGAGACTCATACCGAAGACGAATAAACGAAATCATCGTGACCGAAACGTTGAACATCACACCCGGTCGAGGAACCGATCAAATTCAAAGTCATGCCTCTCTTATTAGTGGCGATTTTGAGCGGCCAGGTCTGCAGCCGAATGACCCCGCTGCCTGGTACATTTACGTGAACTACATTTCGAAACCTGCCAGTTTCCGACATCCTTTTGCCCACTGTATGTCCCACTATGTGTACAATCATGAAGAACAATGCCGACTAGCTGCCGTGAAACAATCATCCATAATCATTTCCGTCTTCATCTTACAAGGTACATGTATACAACACGAGAGCTTCAAGCTCAACCCGTCATCCAGGCAGCAGCCCTTCTGGCACCGAACGTGGTGGCCACGCGCAGTCCGCTCGAACCCATGGGGAAGTAGCTGACCAGGTACCAAACCAGGCAAGCTAGTTGAATGATGGCCGAGATCAAGGTCAAAATGGTGCTGTGAAGCTGTGTCGGAGTCAGCCGGCGTGCTTCCGCCTAGCAATAGGAACGTCATGGAACTTACACCGAGAGAGAAGTACATGGAAAGCCCGAGCGATCCAAAGTAGGCAGCAGTGAAGGGCAAACGCTGGCCGGAGACAAGGTGTTTCACGTACGCCGTCGGGCCCATGACGGCCGCGAAGGACGCCAGGAACAGGAGGGAGCCAAGTGTCCATCTGAGTAACGATAGCGTTAGCGAAAGGTACGCAAATTGAAGATGGCGACCGTCGTATCAACGCTAAACTCCTCGAGAGTCCTCATCACGCCGTTCGGTCACCGGATAAGGTGTTCATAACTAGCTCGCTATGCAAGATCATCTGGCATGAAAGGCGGGTAGATGCAGAGGGGCAAGGCTACATTCGGGTACGGCACAATAGGTACCGATCCAAAGATATCTTTGTCGATCTGCCGCGCCGGCAACTAGCCGGGTTGATAAGCACCCGTGGGGTGATCCTCCACGGAAGAGAGCAGACCCGCTAGTGACAAGGCGCAGAGGGCAGAGGGTAGAGGAATGGAAACGTGGAAACTTACAGAATCACAAACTTGCGCGGCCGCACAGCTACGACCGGGAACAAGGCGAAGCAGATGACGAAGCAGGCGAGGGCGCCCAGGTTACAAGCACCAAAAATGAGTAAACGGTCCCATCGACTCACTAAAGTGGAATATACTACGTTAGCATGGCTGTTCCGGAGAAGATGAAGCGGACACGACAACACCACTTCGTAAGCCCGCCTGCTCACATGGCAATCCGAGACATGGTAAACCACAACTAGAGGCTATGCCAGCTGCAGGGGCGTTGAGAGCTCTAGCATGAAGCTGCTAGAGGTGATGGGAGGGCAAAAGCACAAAGACGAAATGACTCACGCGTTGCGAAGGCCTCCTCCTCTTCCCTCCTGTTGGCAGCAGGCAGAGGCGCGCCGGCGCCCTCGGTTGTCGGGAGCTGTATATAGCTGTTATTGCCAAAGGGGTTGAGGGACTTGATCGAAGACATGAGGCCGGACTGTTGCGCCGTATTGACGGGCACATCCTCGTCCCGTCGCGACCAGCCCAGGGAGTTCATCGAGTCTCTGAAAGAAGCGGACGCCATCGTATCGGTGGGATATGAGAGCCGAGAGATGCAACTATGACGTGCTACACGCAGGTGTCGATGCTCCCGCGGAAACCAAGTAATTAGCAAAGATGCACGCAAGAGTGGGAGCGTCCTCTTTGTGTGTCGAGTAGTATGTGGTCAAGTGACAAGTAGCCCTTGACAGTATCGGGGGCAGTTCGCTCGGAGTCGGCTTGCGGAGGGACTGTGATTGGGTGGAGGGCGACTCCGGGGTGGCCTCCGTCGAGGGTGTTGAGAGAGCACGGGAGTAGATGGCTGGTATAGCGCGGCAGATGAGCGTCAGGAAGACGGGTGTCGAGCTGCTTCTCCACAGCCAAGATGGTCAGCTTGGTTGATATACAGGGTCATGGTCCATGATGGAGGGGAGGGTCGGAAGGCGCATACGATTAAATGTGCACAGGAGGGTGGGCTATTCGGAGACCACCTGTTCGGTTTGTGATGCGACGTAGGCTGGTCTTGATATCTTGGTGGTGGCCTAGTGTCCGCGCGTACCGCACCGCGTAGCTATAACGTAAGTCTCAGAGGCAGACGCGAAGACCAAGGCGAAGGCAAAAGGCAAACGGCGAACGGCGAACGGCCTTCAGATGGAGGGGGGGCTAAGGCGGCTGGTACACGAGGTTGATAGCTTGATGAAGGGGGTGGGGAGGTGATGGAACGGAACGGAGGTTGAGAGAGAGGCAGAGGATGGAGACAAGGCAGGGTGAGCTTGAGAATGTCTCAGAGCGAAGCAGCGCAGGTGCACCAGGTGCGGTTGAATCCGGCCAATCAACGGCTGCATTCTTCCCCGGACACACAGACCATCCGGCGGCTGCAAGTACGTACCCATGATCCCCCGAAATCCGGGCTTCAGAGGTTCAGCCAACCAGCACAGCCACCAGCGTTATCGGATTCTGGTCCAGCACTTTTGAGCACGTCCAGCACCGTCCAGGTCGAGTCCAGTTCCATTTCCTCAGTGTCTCTGGGTGGGTCCACAAGGTCATTCTTATCCTTAATCGGCAGCACATGATTGGAAGCCTTCTCCCACTCCACACCCGACCCGACCTCCCAGAGGCACTTTGCAACCTCTACGTCTGTCTGCGAGGACTGCGATTCTGACAGGTTCACCATCATCTACCTACGTCGTTGATACAGTGCGGCTGCAACTCTGAGACTTGCTGCTGGTAGCCGTGCAGGAGGGGGAAAGTCGAGACCGCATCGAGCAGGTAAAGGCCAGTTGGGGTAGGATTGCCGCCGGCACTCGTTGCGGAGCCGACGATCACATCTTGGCCAGGGGTGGGTTTCCCAGCAGATATCCGTCTTGTTATGCCGTAATAATGGTGATGATTGTCTGAAGAGAAGTAAAATGTTCGGAGACAATGTTTGAGATATTTGTCACTGCCGCTGGCACCGCCCATCAAATCACGATGCTCTCCAGGTGTTGAATAAATTCGCAAGTATCTTGGATCAAGAGCCCACGTTACACACAGTATGTATACGCCACAGGGGACAAGGCTCGAGAGTGCTTGACAGCGGCGGCCTCTTGATTGTCTGAGGTGCTTGCCAGACAGTGTGTGTGTGTGTGTGCTACCCCAAACGGGATATACCCAGGATATCAATGTATGCGACAAGACGGCGGTCAGGCTCTTTGTCTTTCTGTTAAGCGAGTCATAGTCAAGGTAGAAGGCGATAAGGCAAAGGTTCGAGGCGGTGAAGATGTTTGCACCCGTTCCAGATCTTGCGAGTCGACAAGCCTATGGCACACATAGGTCTTGCATGAACCTAGCTGGATATCTCAGATTCGCGGATAAGGGCTCTCTCCCTTCCATGCCTGATGCCAACAAGCCGACATCTTGGGCATCGACAGGGCTTCACCTAGTAGGAATGTGTTTGCTGGCGGCGGTTGCGTAGGCCTCTAGGGCCATGTCGTCCAACTAGCAGTCGAGCCGGCCATGGACCGTGGCCGCCATGGGTAAGGTGTTCTGCGGGGGGTTGAGAAAACTGGTTTCTAAACAAGGCGATGCGAATGAGACAGAATCCCATCTCTGAGCCAAGGGCTTTCTGGGGCCTTTCTGGCCTCGGGTTCCTGGCCGGTCAGTCTAGGAGCCATGGAGAGCCCAGTTTACATGAGTTCGTGATGTCTTCTTTTGAGGGAAAGCCAGACATTTCAAGTGCATGACCACCTTTTTCTTGCCGATCCTTAAGCAGGTCCCCATGAGCGTCTTGAGTCGTCGCGGCCGGCGCGGGTCCAGTAGGTGGGTAAGTTGTCTTAGCTGTCTGACTTGGAGGCATCACGGGGTCCGGCTGCCCTCCATTTCATCCCGACTCGGACCAAGAGGCTGCCAAAACGTCCCGGTGAGGATACAATGGGGGTGCCACCCCCGGAATATGGGACGAGTCAGGAGATGCAAGTGAAGTGACAAGCCTCATCCAGATGATATAGTGTCTGTTAATAGAAGACGGCCTTGATATAAATGCTAGCGCGTTTCCCTTCTGTGCCGGAGAGAAAGGAAGAGGAGAGAAGAGAAAACGATTGAGCAAACAAACCTCAAACAACACAACAGACCGATTCTCGACTCTCGAGTTACGTGGGAAACACAAATCAAGAGGAGGTAGGTGGAGATGCCCCGTTCTGGAGTTGGCAAACGAAACAGAACAGACAGGACCCAAGAGGGAAACAAGAGTTGACAAGGGAGGACAGAAACAACCAGCTGAGATCCGGATCCAATGCATCAGAGGCCCCAAAGTTCCTTACCTTTACCTCGACTCACCGACGCACAGACCATCGATACAAGACACAAGAGGAACGCGCTTATTTGTACGAATACAGGCTTGCAATCGCATATCATCACCACCGACCTAGACGCTGGAATAAGACCAAGATACCAACAAGTAGACGATACCTACTACCTTTACCTTGCACACAGCCGGACATCACCGCCCGGGTTCTCTGGAAAGTTGGAACATTCAGGTATAAAGTTGGTCACTGCTTAGTGATCGCGTATACGTTTGCGCGAGTTATCCAAGAAATCCCAAGCCGCCGGGTCCGAAACCCCTGCGCATCGGCGTCGACATTTCGGGGAGCTCTCACTCCGGTCTTCAAATGAGCACGTTGAGTCCGTCTCGCCGACCCTCTTTTGAACCGACCGGGAGCTTTGCTCCGGACATCGGCAGGCGGAAAACCTAATTTTGCCTGCATTGCCCTCGTTCTTAGGAAACAACGGCGATACTTGGAGCGACAGCAACCAACCAACCAGCCCACTTGCCTAGATCCTATTTCGAGGCAAGTACTCTGGACTGTACCTACCTCGACAAACCAAGCTGGAAAGAAGGCAACGAACGCATTCTACCTGCCTATTTCATCTTGCTCGAGACATTGTCTTGTTCCCTGCTTTTACACGCAAGAAATCACTTCATCTGCGTCTACAACACTACCCTGATATACCTTACTACGAATACCAACCTCATCTACACCCTAGCACCGTGGGAAAAGATGCACATCTAGCGATCGACAGGGATCATCGCACACTACCACTCCGAGCCGGCTTCCGACCACGATCTTGGCCTTCCACTGAGCCGTTTCTCTCGCTCCCCGTCAAGCTTCTCCAACTCTCCAGTCGCACCCGTGGACCTGTACGGTGTACCCGCACACAGGCCGCATTCCCCACGGAGGAATTCTTTCGTCCTACCTGGAACAAACGCTCCAAAACCGCCCCCAACCAACAATACAGGACCCCAGAAACTGCTGCACGTCAACCGCACCGCTTTCCCGGGAACTATGTGAGTAAACGCCACTTCACTTTCACATCAGACATTATTCAACTGACCGCCCGTCCTTGCTGTGTTGAAGATCTAGAGAGAAAGACATACTGTCGTCACTTCCTTCTCCTCCTCAGCAAGGTTGGTACACTACTTGGCGCACCCCTCCAATCCTTTTCGCTTCCTCATGAGTTACCTAGCCTCCCCCCCCCCCCCCCCCCCCTCGTCGAGTTGTATTCCACGACTCAGCCTCACAGCCGCTTCTTCCGCCACACATTTATTATACATGGCATACCCGCCCTCTTCCATTCCCTCTCCTTGCATCGCATCCATTCACTTGCTCTCCTCTCCCTTGTTCCTCTTACTCTCGTGTCACGGATCCCATTTCTAACTAGTCCAAAGACAAATAGTCACCTTCGACTGTTTTGCTCATTGCACCTTGGTATCTGCGCATACTCAACGCTACATCCGCCCCAAGCATCTTGCATTCCTCGGCCCTTTTCAAGTATAAGCAGTCAACTGTCACTGTACCAAGGGTCCGACAACCATCGCAGCAAAGACTCCCGCCTGTCTCCGACCCGTCCGAACCGGCGGCAACCCATTTCATCCGTCGCACATTCTCACGCACTCTTGAGTGTCACCACCAAGTACTTCAGTCCGCCATCCCGCTTATACTGCGTACTAGCGGGCACTTCACAGCAAGCAAGCAGACCAGGAAGCAAGCATCAGCGCCAAGTACGGTAGCAATACCAAGGAATCAGCACACCACCTTTTCCTGGCATTGGACCCCTCCCTTCTCTTCCTGTCGACAAGAGCTGCTTTCCACCACCACCTTCGTCCTCACTCTCACCTCTATTTCCTCCTTGTGCAACGTCAAGCGTCAGGCGGAAAGCCGAGCCAAAGCGTTGTTTCCGTCATCTCTCGAGAGGAACAGCATCTACCGTTACCGTGTAAAGTTGGGAGACTGGGTCAATATTACCCACCACCCATATTCTTCTGTAAGTCAGCATCCGTGTCCCATCACTTCACATCGTCCGTTCTCCTTCGCGTTGGTCTTATTCCCTTTTTTTTGCCCCTCGGCCCACGGACCGGACTGCAGACTTGTCATGCTCGATAGCACAAGCACACCTCGAGGTCCTGAACCACAAGTTGTCTTGTCCCATCCTGGCAAACCCTGCTGTGAACCCCTTCATGACCCCTTGTCTCTGGGCCTGGATCACCCAAGCCTTGAGGCGTGCTTCACGCCGCAAAAAGTATCCGTATTCCATTCCAGCGGAGTGTTCTAACCTCCCTTGCAGCGGACGCGTCCCCATTTTGTTTCTTGAACAGACGCAAAAGACGCTGCACCCTCCGTCACCAACCTAGCCCCAGCCCCAGTCCCAGTCCCCGTCCCCGTCCCCCGTCCCCGATTCTTCCTTTCCCCCCAAACCTACCTTACCTTGCTCACCTTAAGGTACCTTAAGTACAAGGTACTTGGGTACCCCTCGCCTCTTTCCCCCGCCCTCGCCCTCGGCGTCTGGCATCGGTCTCCCGCATGGGCTTTTCTTAGCACCCCATGTATTAATCGTGCACTTCAACGAATACTTGACACTACACACGTCCTTCTCCTTCAACACAGTCCTAAACTAATTTGTTCCCCAGCCCAGTCCAGCGCAGCCGTAGCGCCCAGCCCCGAGGCTCCTACACCAACTTCTTACTCATACCTACTTTCGCTCACCCGCACCCGCATCGCACCGCTGCGCACCACACTACAAACCCCCGGCTCCCCGACACCGCATTTCCATCGCAACTTGACAAGACTCAACTTTCTTCCTCTTCTTCTTCTTCATCACCTCCCTCCCTCCAAGACCTAGTAGCCACTTGGTCCTCTGTCGCTTTCCACTTCTTCCGCAGCTCAACAGGCAGCGACTTTCTACACATCTTTATGCACTTGTGCGACAGGCGACCCAGATCGCAAACCTTGCCTCGCTTACTCTCGCACTCTCAGTCTTTCGCGCACGCACACACGCGCCCCCTCTTAACCGCCTCTCGCCTCGCTACCATCTTCGACGCCGGCTTTCCTTACTTAGGACGCCATCCCCGCACCTTCCACAGCACTGCAGTGAATGGCCGTGTAACAACGGTTTTGTGTGCTGTCGACCAACATTACATATTCCCGGCATTTTTCCCTTTTGCTCGGTGAGTCAGTCCTGCCTTGGTCGCGCCTTCCTTCCCGTACCCGCACTCCTCTGCCACTCACTCTCCCTGCCTATTTTGCCTGAGTGGCGTTCGGAACTGCCTGCGCCTGTGTGGAGAATATCCGCATGTCCAACCGCCGGTTCGTGTCAGTCCGACAGGAAAGCAAACCTGAGCGCAGCGAACCTCGGAGCATCTTTTGATTTGCGCAACTTTGTCATCGTATTCGGTCGCACCGCTGACAAGTCGACTCGCTACAGCTATAAACTCTCCAGGTCAAACTTCCCTCGAATCTTTCCAGTATAACAGAGCAGCCTGTCACTGCACTTCTTGACGAAAGAGGCGGTGTGAGCACTACAGGCCAGCGAGACCTCGCATAATCGCCGATTCAGCGTATATCTAGAGGCAAATTCCAATCAACGCCGTGTCAACAGTAACTACTATGGCACAACACGGCTTCGGCCAGTTCAACGGTGGCCACGGTGGAGGTGGCGGCGGAAGCATCGATCCCAACGACTTGGCCATGGGCGCAAACTATGGATCATCCTACTCCAACAACTATAACTCCAACTCGGGAAACACAAATGGGTTTTCGAGCGGCTCCGCCCTCTTTGGAGACGATGAGCTACTCGACGGCCTCGGAAGCCCGACCGAACAGCCGTTACATGGCCGTGGCCAGGACTTTGGTGGCGGAATGTCAAACATGGATATGGGCTTCAACCAACCTATCTACGGCTCCCACCACGGCCTAGATCAAAACCACATTAACGGCTACTCCAACACCCCCGACGGTGACCCCATCCAAAGCCCTTTCGTGCATAGCTTCAACAACTCGGGCTTTGGCCAGATGCACCATCGCCAGGCGCTCGGCACTTCACTTCAGTCTCCCATCTCCTACTCGGGCTCGCCCTTGGCCGGGTCTGACCTGACTGGTGATGCCGCCGAGACCAACTACCTTCACGCTAAGAACAGAGCTAGAATGGCACAAGCTATGCAACGGAAGAGCTCATCTTCCAACACTCGCAGCCCCATGACTCCCAAGTCGGCGATGCACTCGGCACCTATGGCGACCCAGGAGTCAACTGGCTTCGGTTCTCAGTCCATCCGGGCCCAAGGCATGCATGAGAAATCACCATCCGGAGGTCAGTGGATGCAGACCCCAACAGGAAGCATGGCAGCGTCATACGGCTCTGGCTTCTCGTCGCCTATTCAGCCCGGCCTCGCTCAGCTCAACGAGGTCATGATGAAGGGCGGCACATCGATGCCTGCAAAGCTAGGGGCTCAGCCCGGAGGTGCGGTTTCCTCTCAAGAGATGAAGCGGAAGCGGCGTCGGGAGTCTCACAACCTCGTCGAGCGACGCCGCCGAGACAACATCAATGAGAGAATTCAAGATCTCAGCAGACTAGTGCCCGCGCATCGCTTGGAGGATGAGAAGATCCGCAAAATGATCCAGAATGGTACCCCACTCTCGCCTACATTGTCCGGCATTTCGAACCCCTCGCAGGCCACCTCGGGCCTCGCCGGTCCCGGCGCACGCCGCGCAGCTGGCGCAACAGGCAATATCACGACCGGCCTCCCCCTCGAGGACAAGGACAAGGGTCCCAACAAGGGAGACATCCTGAATGGCGCAGTCAGTTGGACGAGAGATCTGATGTGGATGCTGCACCTGAAGCTGCAGCAGCAGGAGGAGTTGATGAACGCCATCGCGGAGCTCGGCGGCCATTTCCCGTTCGAGCTCACAGAGGATGAGAAGCGCATGCAAACCGAGCTGATGGAAGCCATCTCCAAGAACGAGGTTCCAGGGTACTCCCGCACGACCGGATCTGGTCTTCGAGTACCTCATCACACCGACTTTCGCGGCGAGCCCATGAATGGCTCAGGTAATGCTGACGGCACCTCTGTTAGCCCTGGCGCCACCAACGGCACCGGCCTCGCCAATGACCTTAACGCCGGCAGCGAATTTTGGAATGACCCGGATGATGATGACAGTGGTCCAACTTCGCTGAACTTCAAGGAGGAAGACGAGTTCGGCATGGACCTGACACAGTAGGATGGACTGTTGGAATCCATGGCGATATCCCTGTCGTCTCTATTCTGATCCTACTGCGCTCATCTTCTCATTTCAAGTTCCTGCTCTGTTTTATGCATTCGCGCAGCCATGGTCTCTTTGTTGCATCCAAGCGCGTTGGGGGACGGTCAAGGATTTCGGTGGGCGACGGCGTTGAGAGGTATTTTCAATTACATGGGTGGACGGAGGCTTGCCAACAGCCAGTGAAGCACAACGTGAAGGAATGGGATGTGTTTGGTTGAGTAGGCTCGGGGTTTTTTTGGGTTTTCATTTTCTGTTCTGTTTTCTGGGTTTATCAAGCATCATTCTTACTGGGAGACGTGATACCTCTGGGTTCGGATGGGCATTGCACAAGGTCTTTTTTTTTTTTCCTTTTCCCTTTTAGTTTCTCTCTAATTTACAGGGCGGGCGGGCATGGGGAAGGTTCGCGGGTTCGATATCTTTCAGGCAAATCTTTTCCCAACAATGGTCTTCTCTTCTCCCTGTCCTGGAATTATTTCTACAATCTCTTCTCTCTCAATGCTCACATGCAGTCTCTCAGGTTTCAACACATCTGTTTTGGGATCAACTCGGTATTTTTCTTTTGGTTGTATCTACCTGACTCTTAGTGGCGTGATTTGTTTTTCCACCTTCCCGCGCGTCCTTTTGCGTTTGGCATATCCAGGGGAAAGTAGCTTCCATCTGCTGCCTCATGTTTTTCCCGCACACATACAATGATACCCTCCCTTTCTTTCCAGCCGTATGTTCCTATGAATCATCACATAACCACAGTGCCTCCATTCTTGTCTCGCTCCCCATGTACGGGACTCTTTAGTTTGCCGCCGCATCTCGTGAAGTATGTATCCATTTGAAAACCCGGCTTGACATGCCATGACACGCAAGTGACCAAACGCCTACCAGTGCCTCACACACAGCAAATGCTCGCTCATCGCCGTTAGCAGGTTCCACGCCTCCTTACGTTTCATGTCTTCCTGCAACGCGATCCTCTCTAGAGCCGTCTGCCCGTTAAAGTACTTCCACATGGCCTGCCACGCCTTGGCTACCTTGGGATCCTTGAATCGCTTGCCAATGGCCGCGAGGTAGAGCGACTCCTTGCCCGTCGCCTTCTTGGCGTCCACGATGATATAGGGTGGCATCCGCGCCAGGTGCGGGGCCTCGTTGGTCGACGGATGGTCCGTCGCCATGGGCGGTAGCTTGCGCGCGTGCGCCGTGGCTTTTTCGGCCGCCTCGCGCTGCGTCTTCTCTGCGATGCGCTCTAGGCGTGCCTTTTCTGCCGTCTGCTCAATGTGCGACGGGATGTATGCTGCCATGCCGCTGCCGGTACCGCCACTTCCACTACCACCACTGCTGCTCCCTGCCTCAGACTTCCCGTCTGCCGCGTCAAGCGCTGAGCTACTCAGAGGATTGCTGGTGCTGAGGGAAGAGGTATCCTCGGCGTTGCGCAGTTCGTCGCTTTCAAGCTTGTGCTCGACTTCGTAGATGATCTCGGGCCAGACAACGACGTAGGCGAATGTGCACAGTTGAGTGACCCACGCACCGCGCATGAGCCACGCGAGCATAGCGAGGTACGTGGGCCTATGAGCCTTACTCGGGCAATAGTGTTTATATGACCTCGGCGCGTACGATAGCTCAGCGAGGAAGTTGGTGAGAGGTGGTGCGAGGGGGAACGTCTTTTGCCACTCGAGGCTTGCCCTGGGGAGGTTGCGGGTATCGCAGTTTGGTGACATGATGTATGTGTCGCGGGCATGGAGGGGTGGAATTGCTATAGCACGCCGCCAGAATATGAAGTGTTGCGCGTACTTGCGCACCTGGCTCAACGTCAAGACGTTGCTCTGGCCCACTTGATAGAAACTGAATGGGCATTAGCAAGAAAATATGATGGTCTTCAAAGGGCTCTCGCAACTTACGATTGTGTAGGCTTCGACAGTCGGGCGAACTCGACCATGGCTACAGTACTTGGATCCAAGTCTGCCTGCAGTTCGGCGATGATCTTCTTCTCATCACCCATCAGCAAGAGAGCAAAGTTGCGGTCCAAGAAGCCGGGCTCATCTAGGGTGTCTTCGCCGATGAAGGAGTTAGCAGTCGTCAGCCAGAGACCCCTCTGTTCTGTCTGTCCATAGTTGTGCAAGTCCGTGACGTAGAATGGCACGGGAATCTGTACAGATGGAGTGACTGGACCCAATACCGTGTCGAGCTGAAGGGCCGCAATCTTGTTCTGAGAGACGGCTTCGTAAATGTCCTGGACAGAAGCTGCGAGAGACGATGTTGATAGAATCTCGTCCCATAGCAAACTCATTTTGCGCCCTGGTTTAATATCAGCAACTTACATCCAAGAGTGCTCCGTAATATGGCTTACTGTCTTCCCGCCCCTTGTCCTTTAAGGCTGAAATACGCTTCGACTCTTTCCACACAAATTCGCTTCGCTGTTGGCAGTACTTAAATGCCTTGTTGATCTTCTTAATGATGTTGAGATAGAGTGTCTCGATGAGCTCTTTGGCTTCATGTTTCTTCGGATTCAGAAAGAACACCAAGTTGAACATAGTCATTGATGCGCGCTTGTCGTCAGGCTCGTCCTGTTGGGGCTGTTCTTCTTCCTTGGAATCATTTTGCGACGCATCAGCGCCGTTGGGGGCATCTTCAGTGTCCTCATTTGGTTCGATGTCGACAAATACCGCCGACTCCTCCGTCCGCACAGACTTGGCCCTCTCTGACTTGGCCTTCTTGTTTTTCTTCTTCTTCTTCTTCCATGTTCCACTCTCGGGAACGTGGATGGGATAAGAAACACAGAATAAAGGATCCAGAGAGAGTTGGAAGAGCTTCTTGTGATAGGCTCTCCCTGGGGTCAGAATACTGGCAAGATCTTTGGTAGGAAACCCAGCCACATGCTCCCATGGAACGATTTGGGTTCCGTCTTCGGTGATCAAGTGGTCATCCCCAGCAGTCCATTGTTGGAGCTCGTCCGCGTTAGCATCGGAGTCGAGGGATGCTGAGCCGGGGGCATTGAGACGCTCCAGTAAGATATCGTCGTACTCGGCCGAGCCATCAGCTGGCTCGTGACTTTTGGACTGCGCGTTGGGCGGCAAGACATGGGGTGGATAATGGAAGACGAAGTTGGGACCATCACGAGACCTGTTGATAACCAGCGCTACTGCCAAGAAGTTGGACGGATTCGGGAGCACGGGCGGCGCCATCTTGGGAGCGATAAGAGATCCAACGACGGTTGTAAAAGCTTATGACAGGGCGGTCAAGGGCTCCAAGATGTCAACAGTGCCGTGCCCGGCGATCATCGCCCAGCAGTCCTTGCCGTGGCGGCTGTGTCTGTAAGGAGAGTCGGCAAGACCTGGGTGTGAATTAATGCGCCAGAGGAACTGGCAGTCCACACTCCATGGGACTCAGGCCGGCAGGATGAGAGTTGTACATGCGGCTATTTGTTGTGGCTGGGCTGGACCGTAGATGGGATAAGGGAGGTCGCGGGTTCGATCCGATCTGATGTGGTAAGTCCGAGGTTGGATGAGGATGGTGGCTGGATCGTGGGAAGTCGATGAGTACGGAGTATGGCCAATGGACGTCGTAGTCCGCGGTACGCATCCGTGCAAACGGCCCAGCAGCTACCGGAAGGTCCAGCGTAAGGTGGTCCGAGCACCACCGGTCTGGCCCCGTCAACTTACTGTGCAGTAGGCGGCACTTCAAGGTGGGGTTGAGGCTCTCAAGGTTTCGGCGAAAGACAAGAGCGAACACCCGGCAAGCCCCGTCAATCCAGCGACCATCCAAAGGGGCTTATTCTCATGCGAGAAAGCGAACTTGATACTATCGCTATCGCATACCGGTACCTTCAGTTGGTGATTGGAGTAATTAGTGTTAAGCCAGAAGTGTGGCCCGTTTAGAGATGCCTCTTAAGCAGCCGATTTGAAGCAAAGATGAGACATGGCATCCGACTGCACTTCGTGATCTAGTCGCCGGGCTGGACCTGATAAGACTGCAGGAGACGCGAGACACAGAGTCGGTGAGCCCTCTCCTAGGCTAAGCAGCCCTCAGTCTGTGGCTTGAGCGAAGATAAAGGTGCATCAAGGGAATGCGCCTCTGCTACGGTCGGGTGCGAAACGAATATACCTACGGAGTAGTTGCATGGCGATATGATTCCCGGTTCCGGGTCACTAATAAAGGTAGGACCGTCATTCAAAGTTGCATTGTAGAGGTGGGCGATTCGATACGGGTTTCCGTGCTGATCATGTCTGGGGAAAGGGACAAGGAGAAGAAGCCTCAGAGAAGGTGGTGCTCTCAGCTCCAACGATGACGAAATTCTGGCATGGCCGCTGGGAATCGGAAACAACTATTGGATGGGTTGGATGAGGGGAAGCTATTGAGACGGCCCAGCAGGTGCTACGATCCAATCCAGGCTCGTCAAGCCGTTGTGGCTGTCACACTGCATTACCGAGCAGCTGCAAGACCCTTAGATGACACTGCTAAGGATTCTTGAAAGAACCCAATGCTTGTGGTTTAGTACGGATACCGGCCATCCACCCGTCCAATACCTAGCTCGAGGTGTGGAGGGGGAGGGGAATACCTACCTACCTACCTACCCAGTTGCAAACCGCGTGCTACCGTGCTACCTTGCTGTGTACGAAGTAGAACTTGGGGAAAGGGAGGGAGGCAACAATGACGGTAAGGGCGCCTCAAGTCGTTGTGGTTTCGGACCCCCATCCATTTCCTCGTGCCCAGACTCTAAGCCTCCAAGGTGGTGGACGGGAGCGTGCCTTGGTCCCCTCTCCTCGGTACCTCTTGCCCATGCCGTGACGCTCGTGCCACGCGTCCTGCGCAGAAACAGAGACACGGCCAACAAACAAGGGCAAAGAAAAGGCATTCCAGGTTGAGCTTTTGCTTGAGGTCTGTCCTTGCTAGCGGAGGCGTTGTTGGGAAAGAGCGCCCGCGGCAGCTCCCCGGCCTCCCAATCATAACGGGTTCCCACTGCCCCCGCTCTCAGAGACCCTGACCATGAACATTGAAAATCTGCTCCATCAAAAGCCCTTTTCCTGTAAGGTAGGTATCCGTACGAGTATTTGGTGGCATTGGGGGGGCCTTGAAGGAAAGGGAAGGTAAAGCAGGCCCACAGATGTGGCGGTCGTAAGTTGAGGAGAGCACGAGGTAATTGGTTTGGTCTTCAAGTGTGGTATCCATAAGGTCCCTGAAGGTGGAAAGTGGAAAGTGGGAAAGTTGCTCTGCTCTGCCTGCACCTTCTTCACATGCTCTCGCTCTATCTACGGAGTATGTGTCTCTGTTCAGTGTCTCCAGTCTCCCTTCTTCCTTCTGATTTTCCACCTCGATTCGTTGACCGACGACAAAAGAAGATTAGCCACACGCACATACCGTAATTTCCCCAACGCGAATCTCACTCTAAACTACCAAACGCACCACATCACTTCCGAGAGCCACTGCCACTACTCCCTAACAATACTGGCTTTTTCTTTCACACCTTGAGGGATCCGCACGAGGAAGGAAAAAGGTCTCGTGCTCGGCCACCATTATCTCGAGGGCGCCAATCCCCAGTCCATTGCCCCCCGACTCTCTCTCATCTTTTTCCCAATATCAATCTGACAATACCCACCCTCCTCTCCTCCCACTCGCACTTCTTTCTTCCTACACACCTGAACCACCAACATATCGCCCTACTCCTATCCGTATTCCGCCCGGTACCATCACGTTCTGCACCTTTCCCGAATAGCCTCGCTATCCTTACTACCCCTTGACGTCTTGCGGACCGCCTTGAGCCCCTTTCCGCGATTATCCAGAGTGCCATACCTAATTACACAACACCAACGACTGAACAAACCGCCGAATTCCACAGGGGCATCCTCATCCAGCGATTGACCTCTTTGGTATTGTCTTTGCCCTTTCGACATACCCCTTCCCTTTCTTCGCCCACACAATTCCCTTCTGTCATCCCTTCGGTCAAATATGACCCAAGGTGAAAGCAACGGCCACCCTAACGGGTCGGTGCTGCCTCATGTTCGAACACTTCCCCTTTTCTACGACAGCGAAGATTCCCAGCAATCTGCGACTAGTCTAATCCTGACTGTTCGACCAGACTGGGCCTCCGACGACTCCAACATCGAATTCGTTCGCTTCACCGACGGCATTACCAATACCCTACTCAAGGCCATCAACAAACGAAAGGGTTGGTCCAAGGAGGATATAGACAGGGAGGCCATCTTGTTGCGCGCATTTGGAAATGGAACCGCCGTCCTCATCGATCGCGAGCGCGAAGCCCAGAACCATGAACTTCTCATGAAGCATGGCCTTGCCCCCGAGCTGCTCGCCCGGTTCCAGAATGGTATGCTCTACCGCTTCATCAAGGGCAGCGTCACAGCCCCGGAGGACCTGAGGAAGCCACACATCTATCGAGCTGTCGCCAGCAGGTTAGCGCAGTGGCATGCGACTGTGCCCTGCATTACACACCAGACCTCGACCAACGGCAACGCCAAGGGTCACGATCAGGACCTGAACGCCATCATCGAGAACGCTGCACCTGGAAAGCCTGTGCCAAACGTATGGTCAGTAATGCAAAAATGGATATTGGCGCTACCCAGCGACACACAAGTCCAGAGGGAGAGACAAGACAAGCTTCAGAAGGAGTTTGAATACATTGTGGAGGAGTTCAGCCAGCGCCCTGGGCTAGGTGTTGATGGTGTAAGTCACACAGAGCCGCCACAATCCGCTACGATCGCTAACGGTTCTCTCGTAACAGCTAGTTTTTGCCCACTGCGATCTGTTGAGCGGAAACGTGATCGTATTACCGAGTGCCCAACCTGCTAAGGGCCCCAAGAAGGAAGCCACAGTGACATTCATCGACTACGAGTATGCCACGCCGTCGCCAGCCGCATTCGATATTGCCAACCACTTGGCCGAGTGGGGTGGGTTCGACTGCGACTACAACTTCATGCCCACCCAGTCCCAGCGTCGAGAATTCATCGAGGAGTACATCCGCTCATTCTATAAATATTCCGAGAGCAACACAAATGTTGATATCGAGGCGGAGGTCAGAAAGCTCACACACGAGGTGGACCTCTTCCGTGGAGTGCCAGGATTCTACTGGGGCATCTGGGCTTTGATCCAAGCCGTCATCTCGGAGATCGACTTTGATTACGCCTCGTATGCGGAAACCCGCCTCGCCGAGTATTGGGCGTGGAAGGAAGAGAAAGAGGGCAGCAGGGCAGCAGCCGGCAAAGAGAAGCCCCTGCGCGAGAGACGTTGGGAACAACTGGAGTGAAGTGAGGACATTGATCCGATCGGGTTCACTTGCCATGCTATGGAGATTTGAAGACAACAGTCCTAAAAGAAACAAGCAGAAAGAGGAAAAAACAAACTTTCCAGGGAGATTTGGCGAGGAAGAGTTTCTGTACGTCAAACTCAACTGCGAAACAGAAACGGATTGAAGCAAGCGAAGCATAATATCGACAAGGGCCGGCGTCATTCAACATGAGCTCGACGAAGGCCGGGACAGAGCTCCGGGGCGTTTAGGGGAGGGGTTAGACGGGGGCTTTCTTATATAATCCATCCATCAAATACCACGTAAAGAACGAGAACTAGGAGAGAAAACTGGCTTTCTTGACCAACACAAACAGAAACAATGTTGCAATGTTGCAATGGGAATCGGGCTAATTGAAGCGAGATACCTGAAACAATACACACATAAACGTACCTAAGTAGTGTTCTTGGATCAAAACAATCCTACGGTGCTGCCAAGGAGATCAAACTTTCAGTCGCCTGCGCTAGGCGACCCCAAGAACGACTCCAAGACAGAGAGATTCCAAGTCTCCAACCCAAAGTTGGACCCGGTTAAGACTGAAGTCCGACAAACATGTTTGGCAGCAAGGTATCAATAGCCACCCCCCCCCCCCCCCCCCCCCGAACCGGGCCAAGATACCCGACGGTCCCTTTCCGGCCGAGCAGTTCCTTCCCCCGCCCGCCCCCCGTTTGGCCCCCAAATCCAAACCGTCTTACCGGCTAGACGGATTGGATTGGGCGTGCTGTGGGCCACAACCGCGCTGGGCGTGAGCTCCTAGGTAGCCTCTAGCTACGCACCTAGCCACCTACGGTGGTCTATCCGTACTCCGTACTCCGTACCTATCCAGCCTCTGGTAAAAGTTGGTATCCACTGTCTGTCCCATTTGCCTGTCGCGAGTCAAGCAAGTGG